CGGCGTTGGAGGCGCCGCCCATGACAACGCCGCCGCCGCCGCCGCCGCCGCCGCCGCTACTTCCCTCCCAATGCGACCAAGATTTGGACCTCCGCAAGTAGGCATCCGAGAGTAGCGGTGAGACGAGCTGCTGCTGGCGCTGGCCTCCATAATCCGCGATCCCTGGCCGGCTAGCCGCGGCATTCCTCCTATCTAGCGCTACAAACCCGAATGCCGAGCTCCTGTCGCTGTAGGACGCCCTGTGTGGAACCAGCGCCTCCGCCGAGGGGCTCAGCGCCGAGAGCCGCTCCTTGAGGCAGTCGGCGCACACTCCAGCCGCGCGTTGAGAAGGGTGCCTCCAGCAGGAGCCATCTCTCCTGCTCATGATCCCATGGCAGCTCCTCGAAATCCTAGATCCCAGACGGCGCGCGATCCAAAATGCCGCGCTCTAGCTCGCAGATCGATCGATCGATCGCTCCCAGGCGTTAAGAGCCCTAAATCTCTAATCCCCACCAGGATTTGACCGTGAGGAGCACCGACGTGGACGAGTCCGTACGCAAGTACGAACGGCAGGGTGGGAATATTCAGATACCTAGGAAAGCGCAGGATATACCATTTCTTGCCACGCTCCCCATCCAGTTGTCGACGACCACGTGTAGGCCAGTCCTCGCGTTTTCCTTCCACCGCATGGAGGGTTAGGGTTCTTTACGTGTAGCTATGAGCTTGGAGGAGCAATGGCGCCCGCTGCTTTGGTGAAGCGGAGTGTCTCGTTCGATCTCCTCAGCCGCGATGTCGCCGGCGACGAGGATGATCGAGTGGTGCCGCCCAGGAACGGGCTCGTGGCGGAGAAGAATTCCGGGAGGCGGCGGCGCCGGAGCAAAAAGGGCACGCTCAAGCAGAGTTTCAGCCTCAGCCCTGGATCCAGCGCCGATCTCGCGGGATTTGCCGATCTGGTAGCGCAGGTCCGCAAAGAGGTACCAAAATTTCCCACAGCGGTGAATGGGATACTCCAGCAGAATGGAGCGGAGGAAAAACGTGCTGTTCATGCGGTACAGGAAAATGGAGATGGTCCTGTTCTTCAAGAGAATGGAACCTCCTCTTTGGTGGCGCATCCCTCTCCTCAAGCTGTCAGTAACGCAGACACCAAAGTTTTCGATCGCTTCGAGGCCGAGAAGCCTGCGAAGCAAGTCGACATTGGCGAATCCTGGCAAGCTCGCGGCTTTTTTCACGGGTTGCTTGAAGGGAGCTCTTTGGAGGCAACGGTACGAGCTGGAAATCAGAAAAGTCAGGATTGCGTCTACAATACTCTGGTGCACGTCCCCTGGCGATGCGAACTGGTTAGTTGTTTGTTATTCTACTTCGCAAGAGTTTCATGCTTAACATTTTATCTTTGTTTTTGGAACTCGTGTTTCAGCTCATCCTCGTTGGTTTTTTCGCCTGCCTAGACTCCTTTCTTTCGCTTCTGGTTGCGACACCGGTCCGAGTTGCAATAGCTCTTTGGAGGCGTCTGAGGTGAATTTTCTAGGTGTGAAATGATTTTCTTTTACATTGTTTTCTCACTTTCTTCTATCTGACTGGCAGAGAGCGACGAGCATTGGAAGCCAGTGACTTGTCCGATTTCGGTTGCTTACTTGTCTTGGTTCTCGGGGTTCTTTTTCTTCAGCAAGCAGGTATTTTGATCTATATGTCAGATGATTCTGGCTTCTTACGTTCTGCACTGTCACCGTTTAGATATCAGCTATATCTATCACTCGATTCGATTTGAGCCGAATATAAAACTTTATGTCATTTACAACATGCTGGAGGTAAAATTCAAAATTTCCTTGCAGGGCGTGAATTTTATTGTCTTGATTCAGGTCTTCGACAAACTCTTCCAGTCATTTGGCGTGGATGTACTACAGGTTCTGTATTTCTCAGCGATGAATTACGTTTCAAATGCTGCAGGTTTACAAACTTTTGCTCTCAACTGGCTCATAGCAGTGGGCTGCTTCAATATCCTTCGAAATTTTCTCTTTTCATCTCGTTCTTTTGTTCCATCCTTAACTGTGCACACCAATCCACTCGTTTATAATTTTGTTCGAAGCGATCAGTCTCTCCGCGGCGCTCCATTACGCCGCAACAAACAGGTCGCTGCTTGTGCTGCTAATGTCCAACAATTTCGCAGAGATCAAGAGTACCGTTTTCAAGCGGTTTAACAAGCAGAATATGCATGATCTGGCTCACACTGGTACGAAGCTTGTGTCGCTCGTATTTTTCGCAATAATGTGTTGTGTCACTTCCGCAGACACAGTGGAGCGCTTTCATCTTCTGACTTGCCTCTTTTTCGCGTTTGCGCAAAACATCATTCTTGTGGAAGGGCCATGGATGCAATTATTTTTCTACGTACGTTGCGTTATCTAGTTCCCGTATTGCACTGACTTATTGATCCCATATTGTGTTGTGCAGCACGCGGCGATGGTAATGTTTTGCGAATCCTTTGTGGACCTTGTCAAGCATTCCTTCCTAGCGAAGGTGAACCAAGTCATGCCCGCAGCCTACACGGAGTTCCTGGAGATGCTGTGCGAACAGGTTTATAGAGAAATCTTTCAAGTTCCTTCTCTCAAGTTTTCATGTTTCAGATTGCAAGCAGCCGCAAGGACTCCTCCAGGAGCAAAGCTCTCAGATTCATACCTCTCGGCCCCGCCTGTGTGGTAAGGCTAGAACTTTCTCTCAAATGTTTCCATAACCTTGGATCACAGGTTATCAAAGTCATACTTCCTCTGTATGCTTCATACATCTCGACAAAGTCCGCTTGGAGTTCCCTGCTAAGATTTGGACTCGTTGCCGGTGGAACTTTCGCAATTTTGGTAGCGTTAAAGATCGTCGTGCGTTGGTCACTCAACAAGTATGCTGCGTGGTATCTCAAGCGTTGCCACATGGAGTAAAGCGTATGTACCATTTCAAACGGAGTTAGTTAGCTATAGCGAATATAGTAACTGCGGGCGCGAATATCTGACGGCTACAGTGCCAGATATAGAATGAAATCCCTGACCGTCGATTGCTGGGCTATGGTTGCACGTTATAATCGTACGAAAATGTGGTGGACCTTTAGGCCGAATGAAAAAGAATAATTTCTTTGTTCTCCCTCCCTCACTGTTCTAGGGCTTTTGTACTAGGGTTTGGTGAGCTCCACGAAGTGGGCGGGGGGAATCCAAGGCGCCCCGAGCGATAGCGATGAGCTGGGGCTGGAAATTTGAGGTCGGAGACATCGCCAGCTCGCATTTCAGCTCCAGTAGATTTTGATCTCCGGATTGTAGCTTGGGGGCATGGGCAGCGTCTGCGATTGCTGCGTCGCGGCGTATTGCTCGTGTCTAGCGCCCTCTCCCGCGGCCGCGCAGCTCCGCAAGCTCGAGCTTCTTCTCGCGCAGCAGCAAGGGGGCCTGTTGGAGGTGGATTTCCAAAAGAGCTGGGATGTCTGGAATGGCGGCGATTGCGAAGTACATGGGCGCTGCTCGTTTTGTAACCGGCTTCTCTCCCAGTCCGGCAAGAACGAGCGCTCCGTGAAGAGGAAGTTTGCCAAAATCTATCCCGAGGAGGTGTTCTTCTCTTCCGTCGCCCGGGAGGAGGATGCTGTGATTTCCAACGAGCAAGTCAGGCGCTTGATGGGGGCCTTGGAGGCCGAGAGGGAGATTGTGAGCGCGCTGAGCGTAGAGCTCGAGGAAGAAAGGAATGCCGCCGCGGTGGCTGCTACCGAGACCTTGGCTATGATCACGAGGTTGCAAGAGGAGAAGGCTGCGGTGCAAATGGAAGCTAGCCAGTACAAGAGGATGGTGGAGGAGCGCACCCAGTATGATCAAGGCGCCATTGGGATGCTCAACGAGATCCTGGCCAAGCAGGAGGAGGAGAGGATGGCGCTGTCCAAAGAGGTGGAGATGTACCGGAGCTCTCTCGCTGGTGGGAAGAAGAGGCCTTGCTTTTCCAGTGTGGAGAGTGGGGATGGTGCTTCCATGGCTGCGACTTCACAAGCGGGTGGCCAGCAGCGAGGGAAGAACTTGATGGAATCGTTCGAGAGGGTGGAATCTCCTCCGAGAGTTTACAGCCCTTCGCGAGGAGTGGGATCGTCTAGCATGGACGTCGACGAAGAGGGCAGTGGCTCGTCCGGGATTCACGATCTACGTGAGGTTTCTAGCACAGCAACGACGTCGGGTGGCCGGTCCGAGCACGAGTTCATGGAGAAGTATGGTCCGAGATGGAAAAGCCATGGTTCGCCTCTCAAGAACTCGAGAAGCTATGGCTCCGCGTCCAGCTCGTCCGGTTTGTATTCGAGTTCCGTGAGCCGGAATGACGAAGACGACGCCGTCGACCACATTGTTCGTGCCTTCGCCCGGCCGCATGGGAAGCTCAGCGAGGAGCTGAGAGAGCTGAGCGCGAGGCTGAGAGCGCTGGAAGCCGAGAGGGATTACCACGCGTTTGGAGGGCCGAGGAGGGGCGGTGGTGGCAACGGCGAGATGGAGATTCTAGAGGAGATATCACAGCAGCTGCGGCACATCCAAGCCTTGGACAGGAAGTCGGACGGTATCAAGGAGTTATCAGAGGCATCCTTCGTTTTCTCCTTCAAGGTAAACAAGCTAGTTCGTAGCATTCCCCAGTTTCCAGTTTTGATTCTTTGTTGTTTCGCAGGGATTCTTCTCGTTCAATGGTTTGCGCCAGTCGCTCAACTCGAACATCAACAGGTAAAACGTTCTTCACGGTTGTTCTTTCGTCGATGATCGATCGATCTGTTCTTCCAGATTGGCGTGCATGTTTCTCAAACCTACGGAATTGAGCTACGGAGACCATCACGTCGGGCTGTCTCACTTGCTCGAGAGCTCGCCCCGCAAGACTCCTCGAGCGGTGCCTTGCCTGACTCGCGGGATCAAAGTGGAGACTCCGCCGCTCTTCTCAAACTCGTCCTACGCTGTGCTCCATCGCCAGAATCTGGAGTGGCCAATGGACGCGAGGGGGCGATCGGAGACAGCATTTAGCGGCTGGGACTACTGAGAGATCAACCAAAAAACTAGAACAAGAGAGAAGAGAGAGGTTGTTCTTCGTTTTTGCGTGTACATAATTTTTGCGTTTGTTAACGTTTGGAGATTGGAATATGCTTCTGGGTTTAGGGTTTAGAGTTCTTTGGGAGCTAGGGTATGAATGGCGGCTGTGGCTTGGCAGCTGAGAGCCCGTGTTCTCCGTAGGCATTTCCATCCGGCGCCATCGATCCGGCCGCCGTGCGCTCCTGCCGAGGCGCCAGTGATCGGGAGCGAGGTCGGGCATGGAGCACCTGCAGCAGAATCGATTTCTGGATCGATGGAGCTCATGGCAGTCCCCAAATCAAAGGTAAAAGTGCTGCATTCTTGGCGCTCTATCTCTCTTTTGTTTCCTAGATTTCCAAGTATAAGAAGAAGCTAAGGAACAATCCCAAGAACTTGAAGCCCATTCCAGTGATCGCCCAGTGCTCGTAAGTGCTAAGATTTTCCATTGAGGAGGGAGAGAGACCGATTGGGTAGTAATTCAGGCAGCCTGCCGCAGCGATCAATCTGCGAGCACGGCGTTCATCTGCCCAGAGATGCAAATTTCTTGCTTTTCTGACTCGCGGAGAGCTTTTGGCTCAGTGAGGCAAGTCAAGTAACACTCGAAAACATTGATTCTAACGAGAGAAAAAATCTATCCATGGTTTCTTACAATTGCTGTGGTGTGTTGATCGTTTCTTGTGCCAGGATTTGTGGAAGATACAGACTTCCAATGTACTTTTGCTGTAGTCCATGGTTTCGAGCAAAGAAGGATTTCAAAGTATAAATCAAAGCCACTTTTGTACAGAGCATTCTAGGGTTTTAGTGCCACGCCATTAGGGTTTTAGCGAAGAGCGAAAATGGGGCGCCGAGAGGTAGGCGATGAGAGAAATCGATCGTGGATGTGATTCTTCCTCTTCGATCGATGCAGGAGGCGGCGCATTCGATGGAGGCGATCGGATTCTCGTATTATCAGGCCGATGAGGTGCGAGCGATGAGTGTGAAGCGGATTACCAGCCCGCGGTTGCTGGATGGATTGGGGAAGCCGGTGCCGAATGGGCTGTATGATCCAGCTCTTGGTCCTACAGAACAATCGGATGTGTAAGGCTCAATCTTTCAGCATTTTCGTGCTTAAAAGACTGGGTTTTTTTTTTTTTTTTGCGCAGGTGTCCGACTTGTGGAGATATGCAGCTGTTTTGTCCTGGACATTTCGGGCATATTGAGCTCGTGATGCCAGTTTTCAATCCTCTTCTCTACAGATCTCTCGTGAGAATTTTCAAGAGCGTTTGTGTTTTTTGCCACCACTTCAAGCACGAGCGCAAGAAAGTAAGTGGAGGAAAACCATTGCTTCTTTAGCGTGAGTTTTCTGACTGACTTTTTCCAAATTTGTTTCCACAGGTTGAAGACGCTTGCATTGCTCTCACGCAAATCATGAAAGAGAGTGTTGTCGAGAATCCGTCAGGTGGGCGTAAAATGCTTATAACGTCGGGGCACTTTATCCAAGTGAAGAAGATCATCGAAGATTTCTTTAAACTTCCGCGGACCAAATGTAGTTCTTGCGGTGGGCAGGTTCCAGCGCTCAGGAGCGAAGGTCACGGGAAGCTGTTCCAGGTAACCTTGGGAGTGTTTCTAGTGGTTATTTACTCAATCATTTTTCTATTTTTTTTTCTCCAGCAACCACTGAGTTCTAGGCATATGAGTGCGAACATGGTCAGCGGGCATATTTTTAGAGATCAAAATGCTGCAGCGGCTGCAATGGACGCCAGCGTTCCCGAGTCGAAGGGCAAAAGGCCCAAAGCGGATAAATTTGCCAAGAACTCGAGTATTCAAGCAGTCGGGTACTTCAGCGCGCCTAAAATTTTACTGCCTTCAGAGGTGACGTTCTCATGTTCTTCCTTTTTAGAGACTGATACAAGTTTCAGGTAAGAAAACACTTGAGTGCGCTGTGGAGGAACGAGGAGAAGCTCTGCTCTTTGATTTGGGGTGGAGTTGGGACTGGAAAGTCACCTTCACCTGCTCGGAAAGATGGTTTATCTCTGTTCTTCTTGGAAGCACTTGCAGTCACACCGAATCGATTTCGGCCTCCAAACTATGTCAATAATCAGGTAAAACTGCTTCTATACATGTTTTTCAATTGTTAATAAGTTCACTGGCAGCTTCTGGAGCATCCTCAAAACAAGCTTTATGAGGTTGTTGTCGAAAAAAATATTCAGCTGTCAGATCTTATTACAGAGAGCGGTGCAAAATCAGAGGATGGTCTGCGGTTATGGCTTGAGTTGCAAAATGCCGTGAACGAACTTATTGATAGCACTACTGGTATTTTCGTCAGCATGATGAGTTATTTGCAAAGTTTCAGATTCCTCTGTGTTGCAGTTGCTGGGAAAGATAGAAACGTTGGAATCAGACAACTATTGGAAAAGAAACAAGGTCTCTTTAGGTGGAACATGATGGGGAAGAGGGTAAACCATACCTGCCGTTCCGTCATTTCACCTGATCCTTTTATTGCGGTCAATGAAATTGGTATTCCACCAAATTTTGCTGTAAAACTGACATATCCAGAGGTATGAAGACGTATTGCTGACAGTACTTACGTTCTGGTTTTCTGCTTTCAGAAAGTAACAGCGTATAACTTCGAGCGCTTGAGGAGAAATGTTGAAAATGGTCCGAACGTACATCCTGGGGCTACTCATGTTGAAGACGAGCTGGGTGTTCGGGTGAGCCTTGAGTACCTTAAAGATTGGCAGCGGGTTGCTACGGCAAAGACACTGCTTTCCACGCCAGGCGCTACAGCGACTGACACTATAAAGAAAGAAAAGCTTATAGGAAAGACAGTTTACCGACACTTGCAAGACGGAGATATATTACTCGCGAATCGTCAGGTAAAATTCGGTTAATGTTTGTGGTTGCTCATTTGTTTTTGTAGCCAACTCTTCACAAACCTGGAGTGATGGGACACAAAGCTCGTGTGATTAAAGGGCAACGAGCTTTGCGTTTGCACTACGCAAATTGCAGGTTTAAATCCTAAACTTATCTGGCAGTGCACTGAATGTTGTTTTTCTAGTACGTACAATGCAGACTTTGATGGAGATGAGATGAATGTTCATTTTCCACAAGATGAACTAGGACGAGCCGAGGCTTACCTGATTGTCAATGCCAACCAACAGTATATCGTACCGACAAGCGGGGAACCGATACGAGGGCTCATTCAAGTAAGAAATTGTAACGATTTGCTGTTTTCTCATCAACTGTATAAACAGGATCATATTATTAGTGCAACTCTTCTCACGAAAAAGGATACATTTTTAACGAAGGAGGAATATCATCAACTCGTTTATTCTGCTTGCGTACCTATGCCGACGTTAGAATCTGCCACTTTTTCGAAGGGTCGCAATGTGAAAACGCTCGACAATCATCCGGCAATTGAAACTGTCCCTCCAGCTATTTGGAAACCTCGTTGCCTGTGGTCCGGAAAGCAAGTATGTTTATTTGATTTCTTGATTGTTACTGAGAATTGTTGACACTTCGTAGGTTTTAACGACAATCCTCAACTATGTCACCAGAGGGAGACCTCCGTTTTCAATGGAAAGAGGTATACGTGTCTCGGGAGATTACATTGGGAAGACAAGCGAGGAACTGAAGGTTCTGGTTCGAGGAAACGATTTTCTTTGCGGTATCATTGACAAAGCTCAGTTTGGAAAATTTGGCTTGGTGCACACTGTTCAAGAGCTGTATGGTGCTGACGATGCTGGTCATCTTCTATCGGTTTTTAGCAGGCTGTTCACCTCCTATTTATTTGTGAGTGGAGTTATTCTGTTAACTCTCAAGTTTTCTAATTTTCTTTTCTTTTTCGTACTGTTCTGCAGATGCATGGGTTTACTTGTGGAATCGCCGACATGCTTTTGCTCCCAGGAGCGGAAGAGGAGAGAGCTGCTAAACTCGAGCCAGCGGAGAATGAGCTGGGTGACATTGTGCATGGGCGTTTTGTGGGTGTTGAGGACAAGCAACTGTCGAGTAAGAGAAAAAAAGTCTACATTGCTTTGGTTCTAACATGCACATCAATAGGCGTGGGAATTGAAGCAATTAAAGACATGACTGGGAGAATTCTTCAGCTGAGAGCTGATGCCGGCCGAGCTCGTCTCGATATGCTCATGTCAAGTGCTATGAATAAGGTGACTTCTGAAGTAAACAATGCACTCTTTCCGAAAGGTTTGGTGAAGCCTTTCCCTGAAAATTGCTTATCTCTGATGACGGTAACTGGTGCAAAGGGAGGAATGGTACGTAAACGTGTATATTGATGGTATCAGTGAGCTAATTGTAGTGTTACAGGTCAACTTCACGCAAATATCGTCAATGCTTGGCCAGCAGGAATTAGAAGGCAAACGCGTGCCAAGGATGGTGTCTGGCAAGACGCTTCCCTGTTTTCAACCATACGAACCTGTTGCCAGGTCCGGTGGGTTTATCAAAGATCGTTTCCTGACAGGTTTAAGGCCTCAGGAGTACTATTATCATTGCATGGCTGGACGTGACGGGTATGCTGATACTTAAGCGGACTTTCAATAACTCACTATTCGTCTATGCTTGCAGACTTGTGGATACTGCCGTCAAAACAGCAAAGAGTGGATACTTGCAGAGATGCATAATAAAAAATCTGGAGTGCTTGAAAATCAATTACGACTTTACAGTACGTGATGCAGATGGATCGGTGATACAATTTTTTTATGGAGAAGATGCCGTGGACGTGACTAAGAGCAGCTGTTTGACGAACTTCGACCTTATGGCTACAGTTAAGGCATTTGAGGTTTTTCGTTTCCCTCACTGCCTTTTCTTTCAGAACCGCGACCTGATTACTCAAAAGCTTGGCTTAGGAGAACATGCCAAGGACGTGAAGAATATGAAGGCAATTGTTTCCAAGGACGCTTACATCACAGACATACCTGAGGCCATGGAACAGAAGTTTGAGAAGTTTATGGGTGGGCTCTCGGAAGAGAAGAAAAAGGCGTACAAATTGTATCGCAGGAGACACATCAAGGAACTCAGAAGCGTGATGACGCACAAGTACTTTGCTAGCCTCGCAGCACCTGGTGAGCCAGTCGGTGTTCTTGCTGGCCAATCTATCGGGGAACCATCTACACAAATGACGTAAGTCTTTCTGAGTTCCATCATTAGTTATGACCCTGGCTGTATACCATTGCGCAGGCTCAATACTTTCCACTTTGCAGGACGTGGTGAGATGAACGTGACGCTGGGTATTCCTAGGCTGCACGAAATCCTTACCGTTGCCTCCAAGGCTATCAAAACTCCTATAATGACGTGCCCGTTGAAGCCTGGGAAAACAAGGTTGGTAGAAAAGAAATTACTCTCTTTCTTACTATTGAGATTTCGTGTTCAGAGACGAAGGCCAGAAGCTTGCCGGCGTGATGACCAAGGTGATGTTACCGGACATCTTGGAAACGGTCGAAGTGAGTGCTGTTCCCTTCTATGTTCATCACGGTGTACCGTCACGGCTTTACAAAGTGAGACTACGTGTATATCCTGAAGAGCGTTTCCCGCCGCACCTTGATCTCAAAATGAGGAGATAGACATGGCCATCAAGTCCGTCTTTGCTAAAGGAGTGAGGAAAGAAATCGAGAGGGAGATAAAGGCACTCACTTCGGCAAAAGACTCCATACAGATACTTGGAATTTCGGAGGACGAGCCTTCTCCCGCCGGGGAGGGTGAAATCGAAGGTGGGAAGAAGAAGGTGGTCGAGGCTGGGGAAGTAGCTGAAGAAGATGACGATGATGATGATCAAGAAGAAGGGGCCGATGCCGAGAAACGGAAAGGGAGAACTACTGACGAGGCTGCTTATGAGACAGATAGCGAGCAAGAGGACGAGCAAGAGATGGATTTAGATGCTGAAAACGATATTGCCGACGGTGATAACGACGAAGAGAAGGGCGGTGAAGTTGTGGATGACGAGGAAGAGGGGCACGGGAAAGAGAAAGAGGGGAAGAAGAGCAGTAGCGTTCGGGCTCGTGGGAGAAGCTACGAGATGAAATTCCAAGCGAACCAGAACAGTCCGCAGCTCTTTCTTCCGAATGTAAGTATTTTTTTACTGTTTCTTCTTTATGGCTGTTTCATGCTGGCTGTCTCGTGCAGATTGTCGAGAAAGTACTCAAAACCGTGACGGTACGGCGTATGAAAAACATCGAGAAGTGTAACACGATTGAGCTTAACGGCAAACCGGAAAACCCCGCGCTCCAGACGGACGGTGTCAACTTCTGGGAACTCTGGTCTCTGCCGGACGATGTTCTCGACTTAAACAAGCTCACATCCAACGACATTGCCGCCATGCTCAACACTTACGGCGTAGAGGCAGCCAGAGCCACCATCGTGAGGGAGGTACAGGGCGTCTTCGGCTCCTACGGCATCTCTGTCAACGCCCGCCATCTCAGCCTCATTGCCGATTTCATGACGTTCCAGGGGGGTTACAGGCCACTCAACCGGGTCGGCATCGTCTCCAACCCGTCACCTTTCCTCAAGATGAGTTTCGAGACCGCGTCGCAGTTCCTCATAGATGCGTCTCTGCGGCGGCAAGTCGACGAGCTGGATACCCCGTCTTCACGGATTATTGTTGGGAGAACAGTGGGCCTGGGAACAGGATGCTTTGATTTGCTCCAGAAGACGGACATGCCGCAGTATTGACTTACAGTGTCCGGGTTTGGACGTATTTGATGGAGCACGAGAAGTGGATTCGGGTCTACGTGGTGCTGCCAAGGTGTTTCAATAAAGACGCGCGCAAGGCGGACGAACAACACGAGATGGCTACCTGGTATTTGAAGCCGCTGGATATTTATAAGGGGGAGCTGTGACAGGTCGGTGATTGCCAGTGCTCGATGGCTGCAGCCATTGTTCCTTTTAACTTTAGAGTCGCCACCACACCGATACGAAAGATCAACAACCAGTATAGACGGACAACCTACAGTTGGCGAAGTGTCCCCGTCGGCGGCCAGGAGGGAAAAGAAAAGCAAAAGAACAAACGGAAAGGAGGAGAATAGGGGATGGAATACTCAAACTTTGCTCGGAAAACCCGTGGCCTATAGCGGAACAGAGCACCTGGTGCTGGTAAACTAGGAAGCGTATAAAAAGGAGAGTTGTGCCGGTGGCTTGTCCTTCTCGAATCGCCGATAGAAGTCCACAAAATCGTTCGTTGAGAGGGGAGGTGCCATCGACTCGTAACTAAATCGGAGGCAAGGAATCTTTAATCTCACTTCTGAGCTTCGAGTCATCCCAAAACTCACGGTGACATTGTGCCAGACGGACAGAAAACGAGATAGCTACGTCCCGGTTTTATGAGAAGGAAAACAAAGAACGACGGGAGTTCGTTCTCATAATTGGGACTCGAGAGGAGGAGCTGGAGCTCGATTTCTTTTCGTCGTATTGGTGGTTGCGAGCTACAGTGCCGGTCTCGTCAATCACTCCAAGTTGGTGGACACAGGTCGGGTGTCGGGAGTATTTTTACTCGCTGCTCCGGGACAAATAGCTGTCCGCATGAGATCCCTGGTCGAAAGATATAGAAATTCGGGCTTCCTAGCCGAGAGGAAGCTCGGCTAGCCGGGCATGACCAACACCAGGGAGAGAAGTTTGATGAGCAGAGGCGAGCAGCACTGGACTTGATCTCTCTCTTCCGGGAAGAGGCAATGCAGATGGATGGTTTCTCGGCTTCGAGACACGCAAGGCAATGCTGCTGCCGCTCGGCCGTGCTGTGGATCCTCGTCCTCAATGCATCTTCGGTACTCGCAGCTGTGACAAGGCAATACAATTTTCTGGTAAGTCGTCACACTCGATTCCCATCGTGCTTCTAAAGGAGAAAAGATGTTCCCATGCAGGTACAACCTCTTACCGTCTCGAAGCTGTGTAAAACTAAGTCGCTCATTGCCGTGAACAATCTCTTCCCTGGACCAGTTGTCTATGCCGATGAAGAAGATACGGTGGTGGTGAATGTGACCAACAATTGCCAATACAACATCACTATCCACTGGTTCTTGGATTTCTTCTCGCTTTTCTAGCAATCTCTAGTTACTCAAGATCGAATTTTGTGGCCAGGCATGGGATACGGCAACTTCGATCCGGCTGGGCTGATGGACCAGTGTATATCACTCAGTGTCCACTGCAAACAGGGGACACATACCAGTATAAGTTTAAGATCCAAAGGCAGAGTGGAACTCTTTGGTGGCACGCTCACGATACTTGGCTTCGAGCGACCGTGCATGGAGCGATTGTGGTGTTTCCCAAGACTGGAGTGCCTTATCCGTTCCACTACCCGAGAGAAGAGCACATTATTCTGATTGGTAAATTCCTTTGATTCTGAAGTTTTCATTCTTGCCTTCTTGTTCTTGTTCCAGGGGAATGGTGGAACGCAAACGTCGAAGATGTCGAGTCGCAGTCCTTACTGACGGGAGGAGCCCCGCAGCTGTCAGATGCTTACACCATCAATGGTCATCCTGGGCCACTTTACAATTGCTCGTCCCAAGGCAAGCTTTTTCTTTTTGTTCTTTTCTTCTTCTGGAGCATACTTCTAAACCTCCCAGGCCCCAAACACAGACGTGTACGTTCTCAAGGTCTTTCCCAACGAGCACTACCTCCTGCGCATCGTCAACGTTGCTCTCAACCAGGAGCTCTTCTTCACCGTAGCCAACCACAACCTCACGGTCGTGGAGATCGACGGCGACTTCACCAAGCCATACACAACCAGCACCATCTTTCTCACCCCGGGCCAGAGCACCACCGCGCTCTTCATCACAAACCAACCCACGGCCAAATACTACATGGGAGCCAGTCCATACAGCTCCGCCGCGGGAGTGCCATTCCCGACGACGCCAACTCTAGCAATCGTCGAGTACCAAGGCTCGTCGAACTCGACCCCGCCAGTAATGCCGACGTTCCCAGCGACCAACGACACTGGCCTCGTCGCAAACTTCTCGGCCAGCCTGAGGAGCCTGGCGGACACGACTCATCCGGAGCCAGTCCCACAGACAGTGGACAGAAGCTTGCTCTTCACAATCGGCCTCGGGACAAAGCCGTGCGGTGAAAACCGGGTGTGCCAGGGGATCGCTGGGACCAAGCTCACGGCCTCCATGAACAACATCTCCTTCGTCCTTCCCGACATCGCTCTCCTCCAGGCCTACTACAACAACATCTCCGGCGTCTTCACTCGCGACTTCCCGGACACACCGCCGATAGTTTTCAACTACACGGGGACTCCTCCGAACAACACCACCCCGCAGCGAGGGACCCGACTTCTCGTCATCCCATACAACGCAAACGTCCAGATGGTTTTCCAGGACACGAGCATCCTCGGCATCGAGAACCATCCCATTCACGTCCATGGATACAGTTTCTACATTGTCGGGCAGGGAACTGGCAACTTCAACTCGAGCCAGACGAGTACTTTCAACCTGTTTGATCCTCCGCGACGGAACACTGTCGGAGTTCCAGTTGGAGGGTGGGCTGCTATTAGATTCAAGGCTGACAATCCTGGTGAGCTTCTCTTCTTTCAGAGCTTTTTTTTTTTTGGTGGTTTTTATGTGACAACTGTTTTTCAGGTGTTTGGTACATCCACTGCCATTTAGAGGTGCACACAATGTGGGGGTTGACGATGGCTTTTATTGTGCTTAACGGTGCTCGGGCTAACGAAACTTTGCCGCCTCCACCGCCAGATCTCCCGCGATGCTAGTAAGATTTTTATAGATATGATTCTTTTGATCTTGGGCCAGCCAGCTCGAGATGATAATGTTTCTACAGGCAAGAAAAAGATGATCTTGAAAAAGAAAAGGAATTTTTCTCGTTAGTCTCTCTTGAGTGGGATGGGCTGGACGTTGTCAATCTTGTGAGGGACGTTCTTAAACTTGGAGAGGATGAATCTGGGAGACGGAGGATTGGGGTGCATTCGATGGAAGCACGCGTGAGCGGACATAACTGTGGCGTTGTTGGTCTTTGGAGGAATGAAGCAGATCCTCGGTAGGTTGTATTTGTGCTGGTGGAACATTTGGAGTTTGATCCACTCGTCAGCATAGCCGTTCTTCATCACCTTACCCATGTCCTCGTTCCTGTTAAAAGAGAGAACGAGAAAAAAAATCATTGTTTTCGGAAGATCAATCGAAAGAAGCATACTTTTCTCCTCTGCAACCATAGACGTGATAAGGATTTTTCTCCGAGGGGAGTGGAGGTGGGGTTCCCTGGAACAAATCAAGGGAATCTTAGACGAATTCTCTATCGTTTTCTCCTTTTATTTTTTTCTGGTTAGAACATACCACTCGTTGGCTCACTGGCAAGGGACAGTAGTGATTCTTCCGGAAGGGTCGAATTCCTGGAGCTTTCACGATGTGGCTGACAGTGGCACATCAACATCCAACCACAGAAACATGAGAAACAATGGAAATGAATAGAAAAGAGAGTGAAGAACACACGCAATGGTGGCGAGCCTATTCATCTGGATCAAATCGGGGCCGTTGATAGCGTCTGGATCTGGGATATGTTCTCGGTGCGTCATCACTGCATCAAGCAAGCTCGCTTTTTTTTTGTTTTCGTTCGTAAAAAATATCTACCTTCTCTCACTCCCTCGGCCTCCAAATCGTTGCAAACGCCATAGATGTAGTTGGGCTCTGGAAGATCCTGAGTGGGCTTCTTCACCTGGGGACGAGAGAGAGAGAGAGAGAGAGATCATAAAAAATGAAGCAAGAAAAGAGAGGGACACTCACCGCTCCAAGTCGAGGCTTGAGCAGCAGTGAATTTGTCTGGAAGGACTTGCGAACGGTGCCCATCCGCGGCACATTGTGCTCGTCATAGACGAAATTGGCAGGAGTGGGCATGGCGAGAAACAATCGGATTTGCAGCAAATAGCGTGCAGCGCGATGATCGGTGCGTCACAGTGGAAAGAGCACCGATTCTCTCTTTCGTTCTTTGGCGCCAGAAATGCCCGCAACGGTGGTTTCTAGTCTGGGCGCGCCAAATCTGATGTGGCAGTATCTTTGATCGTTGACCGTTGACTATGTCTAAAACGTTAGTCCAAGTATTAGTGGAATGCGAACGAGTGAACTTCTTTGAGAACTTTGTCATCAATTAAACTTAGTCATATCCTAGCTAGACCAAGGGAAAATTCAATATTCCATAGAGCATTTGAACTCGAGACCTGAGTCTGCTCCCTTAGACCGCTCGGCCCTCGTCATACTTAGGTTGTTAAACTTCTCTACGAAATTGGAGTCTAGAAACTATTAGTTAATCTTGATCAACCACTTGGCAATGCATATGCATGCTGGAGCTTAAATCATAGTATATAAGCTCCAGCCATTCACAATCAGCAAGCATTGATTAAGCTCCAGCAATCACCACCACTACAACAATGAAGGCTGCTTTGTTGTTGCTTCTGGTGCTTGTTCTTGCTACTCTCCAGATAGCAGTGTCTTCTTCTTCTTTGGGTAGAAGGGAGCCTTTGTCTTTGGAAAATGGTGTTTCTGACTCATCAGCAGTAGAGCCAGCGTCCACTTCTCTACATCCTCCTGAGGTGGATGGTGATCATGATCATAAAGATGGAGGTTCTTCAGTCCATGGCTCTCACAAGCACAAGAGGAGCAACAACAACAATAACAACCACATCAACATTAATATCAACATTTGCAGGAAGAAATCTAAGGATGATGAAGATTCAAAGCACAAGGACAAGGAAGAGGAGAACAAAAAGTTCGATCCTTAGAATACAAGATCCATCATTTGTAGATTAATAGAACCAATAAAGTCTCAAAATAAATTCTTGTCTCGAGCTATCAATTCAAAGTTTCCACAAGAGAGTTGAAAAATGAATAAAAGCAAATTCGAGAAAAAATTGATCTGTAAGGTTTAATAGATGAATGTGTCAGAAGTGGGATTTGAACCCACGCCCTCACAAGAGGAGCAGAACTTGAGTCTGCCGCCTTAGACCGCTCGGCCATCCTGACCTTTCATGAGTTTCATGTTAAATTAAAATCTATGATTGCATGGGGTTTTAGGACTTGATTTTCCCAGAGCTCTGGCCATATAAGGCCTCCAAGCTCTAACCAGTATTCAACACACATTGATTCAGCTCCATCCGTCACTATTTGTGTTTCTAGTGCTTGCATTTGCCCCTTCTTCTTCTTCGAGTAGAAGGGAGCTTTTCTCTTTGGATAATAGTGTTGATGGTGTTGATGTTCCAGAGGTACTAGAACCAGCGTCCACTTCTCTAATGCCTTCTCCAGAGATGGATGATCGTGAAGATGAAGTCCGTAGGTGAGGCAAGCACAGGATGAACAGCAACAACAACATCAATATCAACATTTGCAAGAGGGATTCTATAGATCTTGACGCAAGAAAATCCGGCTCGCATTTGCTGCTCCGGAGCTCTGCTACGTACCACCGCCATTGCCGAGGAGCTGGATCTGCAAATCCCCACTCTGACAGAGTTGAATCACAACACTGAAAATAAGATAGTTCTTCGTTCTCATCACCCTCTGGATTGAGCTTTTAGTCAACTTAACACATTCAAAGGCCCGGATACTTCATTTGGAGCGAGGCACGAACGTATTCTCTAGCATCTTTGACATCTTTGAGAGGATCCTCTTCCTTCCTCCCGGAATTGTGGAGCTGCGCGTAGCCTCCACCGCAGTAGCCACTCACTATATCCATCTCTGGAACGTCCTCCTCTACCTGTCCTTGTTCCTCATCAGGCCTCGCCATCAGCGTCTCTACGCCATCCAGTAGCTTCCTCCACAAGATCTGGTCGCCCACAAGCACTTGCGACTCGCACAAAAGCCTCGCCGACGCCACAGCACAGAGCTTAGTCTCGATTCTCCCCGAGATGTAGCTCAGAGCCGGGATCCACAGCTGCTCGAGCACGTTGGTGAAGAGCCCCGGCTGCAACCTGTTGATGGAGTCGACCAGCCCTCCGGGACCGTGCTTGACGGTGAAGAGCGCCATGAAGAGCGTCAGGAGCTTGAGGAACTTGACAGTGCGCTGGCCTCCCATGGCTCGGGAGAAGAAGGACGTCCAAAGGCTCCGATCAATTGCCGGCATCAGCTGCTCCTGCCCGAGGCTCTCCACCACCGCATTGGCGATGTAGAAGGCATAGTCCTCAGTGCTCCTCCGCAACACTAGTGCATGGACAAGGTTGCAAACTTCCTGGAGCTGGTTTGCCTGTGCTATCTCCCTCGGTGCCTTGAGCAAGAAGGCCTCGAGGAGCCGGATCATGGCAGGGGTGCTCCCCGACGACTGCTGCGAGAGCTGGGCGAGAAGCATCGGGAAGAGCTGGAGATACACTCCGGGGATGGGCTGGGCTCTTGACTCAACCAGCTGCGCGAGTACCTGGAAGACGTATGGCTGGAACTCCGCGACGTTGTTTTGGAGGATGGATTGGAACACCGGGAAGAGCCGCTCCTCAAAGGCCATAACGACGTCTAGATCGCGGTGGTGGCAGGCCTTTCTCACGAGCACGGACACCGACTCGAAGACGTAATGGTTGAACGCTGGATTGGCCGGGTTGTCTCGAGCTCGGATGACGATCTCCATCAGTCCATCCAGGTGGCGCATACCTGCTTGATCTTCCGCCAAGGATAGAACTCTCATGATGCACTTCATCACGTAAGGATTGTCCTGCGAGCCCAGACGCTGCAATCCACTGAGCGAGTTTGCCAGGAGCTGGTCCTGGAAGGGAGCCAAGTCTGCCGAGGAGAAGCGTGGCGCTCCTCCGTCTCTCACCAGCAGCAACCTGTCCACGCACCATGCGGCATACGAGCAAACGACCACGGAGTCACTGAGCAAGAGCTTGATGATCTGCGGCATCAGTCCCAACGCCACAGCTTTGGAGGCGGCACTTCTAAAGCTTGTGACGAACTTGAGCGCACTGGCCTGGAGGAGGAGCTCGTTTCCTTGGAGTGCCGGGATGATCTGCGACGCAAGGAACTGCTCCACGTTGACGAGATCGGTGGTAGCTCCAACTGTGAAGCTCGACTGCCTCTGTGCCAAGGCAACGATCAAGTAGATAGCGGTGTCCTTGTCTTTCGAGCCCGAGCTTACACTACACAAGCGTTGCAGCAACTCGGCCATCAAACTTTTAACTGGCTCCCTGTAGTGTAGCATGAGCCCTTTGATGAGCTCGGAAGACACACGTCTTCTCGTGTCCATGTCGCTCCCCTCGATATCTTTTTGAATGTATTCCCAAGGATTGTCTCTAAAGAGCGCCTCGTCTTCCTCGCGAACTGCAAAAGAAGGCTGATTTGTAAGAAAAGATTCCTACGTAAAGATGGATCAAAGAAAACTTACTTCGAACATTTGGGATGACAATGCGTTCGCAGATCTGTCTCAGAGTATCAGCCCCGCTGAAGAGCCCATGATGCACGCTCTTGCTCACCGTTGTCAAAAACTTCACGGCGGCCATAGCCAGTTGGTCTTGTGCTGGTTGCAAAGACGTGGACATCAGTAAGCTCCCGACGCTTGTTGCCAACCCCGGAAGGAAGTCTCGAAACTCCTCCTCGTTCTTCTCCATGTAGAGGTTGATGTTGTCACACACGGCCGTCTTGACTTGATCCACGATGCCAGTCTCGCATGATGTGAGAGCTGGATTTGCATACGAGAGATAGTACTCAAACTCGCCCATCCATTCCTTGATGTGGTCCTCGAAAAACTCTGGAAGCTCTTGCGAGTTGAGCGAGTAGAAGATCTGGCAGCACTGTTTCTGGCACTCAAGCAGCGTCTCGAGAGTAGCTGCATCCACGGGTGTAGTAGCCTTTATCACAGCCCCGATCTTCGTAAAAACTTCCAGCAGTGGCGCTGCGAATCCATCCAAGCAGTACTTGAGATCCGAATACAGCTCCGGGCTCTTGGACTCATGCCCAAACTTCTGGAAGATAGAGTTGACAGCCCGCAAGATCGCGTGGATGGAAGCATAGGTTGTGGATGATGACAATCTCATGACGAGTTCCGGCAGCAACCCTTTCCAGTTGTTTGGGAAATCATAGCTACTGATAATTGCCACAGCTTGACGTAGGAAGCTCTGGATTCTCGGCGGTGAGGCCAGCATCAACCTCACCACCAAGCTCTTGATCTGCTCCTTCTCACTATCTTGGATCGCCAGCGTGATCTCGTCGCTAGGATTCCATCGAGTCTTGACATGGTTCTTGAAACTGGAAGCCAATGCTTGGCAGTACGTATCGTCCTGCGTGATCGCTGTTGCCTCGCCCAGAAGCTGGAGGAGGGCGATGCCATAGCCGGGCTGATTCGACGCGTTGCTGATGTAGAACTCTGCCTCTAGATCGGGCCCAAGAGATGGAGAGGAGATGCGCACGAATGCCTGAGAGAGAGCCACCATCGTTCGTAAAGGTTTCATAGTAGGGTTTCCAAGGCCTTTTATAGTATAGTCCAAGGAGAAGAAACCTCCAAGGTTTAAGGTTTAGATGATTCTGATTTCTCGTACAGTCTTTCATCAACGCTTTTTACATTCTTCTGTCAACTTCAGTAGTCACATCTTAGGTTGGTGTGCTTACAGTTTATCAGCACTTAACAGCTTATCAACCAATTATGTCAAGCAATTACAGTTGCGAATGGCGGAACTAATGTCGATGTGCATGAGAATAAAAGAAAAAAGAAACAAATGTGTACTTGCTGCTTTTGTTTGGCTTGTTTCCAAGTCAGAAAAGCAACAGGGGGATCTAAGAATCTCTCACAGCGCTGCCGGCACTCTTCTTCTTCTTCCTGTTGATGAACTCCTTGAGCAGCCGGCTGACGTGAGTGAGATTTGCGCGAGGCTCCCATGTCGATTCCTGCACACTGTATCCCTTCCACTTCACCAGATACTCACGACCCCTCCGCCCACCACACGCAAGTCGATCCTCCAGGATCGACTCCACCTCCCACTCGGGCTCCCCGTCCACGACCACCATCGTCCCATCCTCGGGCGTCTCCTCCTCCTCTTTGAGCATCTTTTGCTTTCCTGCATCGTCTCTGCTGCTTCTTCCGGCTCCCGCTTGATCTGCTGGAGCCCCGCTGCTGTTGTGGCCAGTGCCTCTCTTCCCTTCTTCTTCTCCTTCGTCGGCTCCTCTCCGGGACGGATCAGTCGAGCACTGCGCCTCCTCTGCTTTGAGAGCTTGGTTTACCGCTTGGCCAACTTCTTGTTTGATCTTGTCTTGGCTCTGCGTCGGGTTGTCACGGCACACTGCTGTTCGCTCGACCTTTCGCAGTCGCTTGAGCCGCCGCTGGGACGCTCTCGATCCGTCCAGCTCGGACGAAACTTGCTGCTCACTGCCATCCTCGCGGCTTACGCTTGTTTGAATCCCTCGAGGTCTTTCTTCTCCTTCTTCGTCTCTCGCAGCAGCATCCGGAGTTGGAGCCGCAAGCGTTGGGCTCTGGTACTTCTTCCGGAGTTTCCTGGTTTTTGGCCGCGAATCCTGGCTTCTCTCGACTGTCCCCGCGGAAACCTGCCGATCAAGCTCCGAGGAAACCTGCTTCGAGTGTTCGTGTTCGTCCCTCGGAATTCCCACATTGTCCCCGATGACAAGCAGCGTCTTCTCCTTCTTGTTCTTCGTTCCCTGGATTGGAGCCGCCTGCTTTCCACCACCGAGAGAAGCCGAATTCACTACCCCGCTCGAGGGTGTCGTCTCTCGGCTCGGACCTCTCCCACTGCTAAACCGGATCAAGCTACTCAACCTGAAAACACCCTCGACACCCATGGAGCCCGGCACCTGGATCCGAAAACTTGCCTCGGACAAGCACTCCTGGATCTTATACGGCCCAACGAACTTGGGAGGCTGGATTGTGGCATCAATCTCCTCGGTACTCAGCAGCACAAGATCACCCACGCAAAAAGGCTCTGGCATCGTCGCCATCGCTGCTAGTTACCCAAGAGAAGGCCTTGTCATCTGTGGAAGAAACAATCCCGAGCTTTAGGGTTAGAGCGAGAGAAATCGTTTTTACTCTTATTTTGGGTCGAGATGGCCACCGCGCTTGAAACCTTCCACCACGTCATCGAACATTTCCTCCAGTCCTTTGAGCTTCATGCCGAGAAAGTTGACAAGCTTGTCGTTGCACAAGCCTTTGTACGGTTTCTTCGAGGCCGGAAATCTGGAAGAACGAGTCAAGGGAAAGAAAAGAGAAGTTTTGCATGGCTTACGTTGGTATCTTGTAGTCGGGGTACCTCTCGGCCAGAAACTCGGTGAGCTCCGTGTTTGTAGCATCCACTGCCGAGCAGATGTAGCGTCCGTTTGCTGCTGGGTTTTCGAAAGCGCGGATGTGAGCGGTGGCAACGTCGTCCAAGTGCACGTAGCCAATGAACTTGAAGTTCTCGAAGCGCTTGTCGTTACCTGGATCGAGCTTGAGCGGGATGAAAAAGAAAGAAACGTTTTTGCTCGTACCTTGGAAAAGAGAAAGGCAATCGGCTGCGCTGGCCGTCGGTACTGGTGGCAGCGTGTATCCCACGATAAGGCTCGGGATGATTGTAACGAGGTCGAGATTGTTGGACTTCGCAAACTCCCAGGCGGCTTGCTCGGCGAGAGTTTTTGATAGCGGGTACCAGAACTACAAAAAAAGATGGAGAATTAATATGTAAGTAGACTTGTAGCAACCTTGTTCTCGCGGCACAGCTCCGAGGAGCTCCAAATAGACTCGTCCAGAAACGCATCCTGGGGGAAGGAAGCGGCGAAGCGCACTGCTGACGTCGACGACGTATACACGACACGCTTGACAGTCGATGGCTTCTTGCAGGCTCGCAGAACGTTTAAAGTTCCCAGCACAGCCGGATCAACAATCTCGGCCTGAAGAAGGAGAACAGCGTTCTCAGAGAACGTAAGGAAGAAGCGGTGCTTACTTGCGGATCTTTGGCAGTCATGGTGACAGCACTAGCAGAGTGGAAAACCCCTTCACAGCCGTCAACAATGGAGTCGAAGACGCCCTCTGAGAGAAGGTCTGCTTTGAAGAGCGTGAGCCTCTCCTGTGCACCACTGAGCTTCCAGAGATGCGACGTTTTGTTCGGATCATCTGCACGAAGGCGATAGAACCTTAAAAGTTCGTCCATAGAAACGAATAAAATGAGAACTCAAACTCACCTGGATCCCTCACGGTGCCTCGGACATAATACCCCTCTTCCAGCAGCCTTTTCACCAGCCATGATCCCAAGAAGCCCGATGCGCCAGTGACACACACCGTCGCCATAGCTGAAACCCAACAAAATAAAACTGTTTGCTTTGTACTCGTTCGTATTCGTGACTCTGACCGAGAAGAAAACGTTAAGCCCGCCCCTGCGTTATGCCATAGTCGACAATCAAGAGCACTTAAATTTCGGATCCTTACCTCGCGGTTGCTCGAGCCGTTATTACTCTATAAAACTCCATCACTCGTCATGGCAATCCAAGTTTCGACATTTACAAATTACAAAAACAAGTTACATCGATTCTGAAGTACCAGACCGCACTAGCTTCTGCTTTTGCAACTCGGCATTAGACAGGCGTTCAGCCTCCAATGCAAGCTCAAGCTGGTGTGCAGCAAAACACAAAAGACCATTTTAATAGAGAGCGGAAAGAGCATCACTAGCTACCTTTGCTGTTCTTGCGCTCCACTCGTCCAGCATAGCCCGGAGCCTTTCGTTCTCTTCGACGTACTGCACAACAAGATATCACACCAGCAGCCTCAGTTTTTGTTTGTTCAATCGCATCTACCTTGTCGTTCAAAGTCTTCACTCGTTGGATATCGGAGTCCTTCTCGGCAATAAAACTTCTCGCCATCCGTATCTCACCTTGCAATTGATCTCTCTACAGTTTCAACCGTCAAAGTCGCCAACAGTAAGTTAGAAAAACGTTCACGTACCTCAGCTGTTACTGCACGTAGTTCTTGCTCACGTGCTCCAAGCAAATGTGCCACATCGACCTGAGCCAATATGAAGTTGTTCACGTGAGAAATAGATATCATACCTGGGGCGTGGTGCCATCTTCTTGTGAGCATTCATATTTACTCAACATCTCTTGCAATCGCAGAACCTGGACGGGGCAAAATGTCGATACGGTCAACGGCTGACATGAAGTGCAAACCTCTTCACTCAAAAAGCACAGGTTTTCTTGCTGATAACGCAGGAGCGTTGCCTGCTGATCGGTTAAGCTTCCACCATCAATGTACCTGGAACATCACATACAAAGCTAAGTGAACACGCTTCGCAAACCAGATAAAGAACCTCAAATCACCCAGTGAGGTAGGCGCCTGAAGAGCGGAATAGAGCAAGTGCATTGCATCTGGTTGAATGTCTGAAATGTGGTGGGTTCGAACAGCCCCTGGAGAAAAGAAAGAAGGTCAACTGCAAGTATCACATCACGGAAGAACTGTACTCACATATGTATAATCCCATCAATGCCGCAGCCCAAAGAATTTCCATCAGTAGAATGAACCTGGCAGCGTGTGTCAAGCACAGGTAAGAACTTATAACTCCCACCTGATCAACAAGAACGAAGAAATCCTTGCGTTCATCAGGAACGGCTGCCAAGACAGCACCAAAAGAAGAACCATGTTTCCTGCCAAGGAAAAAGAAAAAGAAAACAATAAAGGAAGAAAAAAAGAAGAAGAAAACTTACCGATCGCTATAACGATGCAAGGCAGCTGAATCAAAGCCTCCAGTCTTTCACTGAAATCGAGAAACCCCTTCAATAAAAATTTACCAACAGTTTGACAGGCGACAAGTTTGCCTTGAACAAGTACCTGCCGACGTTCCTTCTTCACTTGAGCGGCCAAATGGCGCTGGAGCAAGCCTGACACGAAAGAATCAAAGAAATATTGTAATAGAAAAAAATCAAAAGAATCAAGATGAACAGCACGAGAAAGAATCATGACGAACAGCACGAAAAATTACGACAATATCGCGTAAGAAAAACGCACAAATACACACACACACACACACACACCTGTGAAGAGATACATCACAACATTGGCGCTGCAAAGCATCGGAGTAAGGTACGCATAGTCTAATCCCAGAAACGAAGAGCTGATCACGAGACCCGCAAAGCCCGCCTGGAATAAGATCGCTACAAGTAACCATCCAAAGAAACCATGAAAAACAATGGAATTTTCCAGGTACCAGCAAGACGCAGTAGAGGATCGCAGCCACTCTATCAGCGCGCTGCCGATGAGTTCTCGCCGGCGGCTCCAATGCCGCCTCGACAAAACTAGCGCACCCACATCGAGATCACTTAGCTCAGCTGAGAAAGAATGAGTGAACTCGGGCTTACTGATCGCCATTTGCGAGAGGATCTCTGAGTGACGAGTCCTCTTCCGGTGGAAGAGCTCCGCTGCTCCATCGCACTATGTAATCCATCGCGCGGCAACCCTAAATTCTCCCTGTCCCTCTTCCTCGGAGATAATGCCACCTAAAACAATAGAGCTTTGGTTTTAGCTTATTGCTGGGATTTTAACACCGGGAACGCAATCACGTCTCTTATGCTTGGACTGTCCGTGAGAAGCATGACGAGGCGGTCGATCCCAATTCCCTGGAGAGGTATAAAAGGAAGAGATTTCTATCAGCCACTCCAAGTTTTAGAACTCTCTTACCATTCCGGCGGTGGGAGGCATCCCATACTCCAGTGCTGTGAGGAAGTCTTCGTCTAGAGTGACTTCGTATGAGTCGTTCTTGTGTTGCTTAACCGCCGATTCTCCGCGGTCTCGCGCAGCGGCTGCTGCCTCTTCCAGCTGCTTGTTGTGAGCTCGGATTTGCGCTTCGAACCTGGCTCTCTGATGACGAAAGGCTGCTTGAGTCACGGGATGGCAAGCAGAAACAAGAGCACGAACCTGTTCTATCGGATCTGTCAGCTCCGAGAATGCATTGGCCAGCTCCCGGCCACAAATGTAAAGTTCGAAGCGCCTGGAAAGCTGCAAAGAACCATTCCCTTTAACCGACGAAATAGAATATAGAAGAAGTTACTGAAAGAAAGTCACCTCCGATGGGCTTTGGCAAGGGGAGAGACTTCGACCGGGTGATTAGTGACGAAAGTTGGCTGTATTAGTGTTTTCTCCACGACTGCTTCGAACACCTGAGCCACCGACATCATTACGTTTACAAACCGACGGAGACGAAGAAAGTAAATGTGCACCTCATTTAGAACGTTTCCGACTGTTGCGCAGTTTGCAATAACAGTTTGGAGAGATTCGTCTTTCCGGGGTGATAATGCTGACAAAGCCGCCGATTTTGCTGCCGAGAGATCACTGCCCAAAGCACTAAAGTCGATTCCAGTGGCCTCCTGAACCAGTGACTGCATGCTAGCCCGCCTCCACCGGGTTTTTCTAGCGCTATTTCTTTTCCCTGGCAATTGAAATGGAAATAAGGTAAGGTACACAAAGTAGACATACTTGATAGAGTAGCGTCGCGTTTCCGAGGATGGCTTCCGCACATTTGGCAATGAGGTCCTCGGCCAAAGCCATCATGTCGTTGTAGTCAGCATACGCTTGATATATCTGAATCGTAAATCCTTAACTGAGAGGGAGTAACAAGGTTACTTACCTCTATGGACGTAAACTCCGGATTATGGCGCGTAGAGATTCCTTCATTCCTGAAGATGCGGCCAAGCTCGTCGACCCTTTCAACCTACACACAAGGCAATCCGTAAGCTGGTACCATTCCCGTATAAGCGATGGTGCACAGACCGGCACCCACTTTAAATGTAGCTCAGTAGCAATGCGCAAGACAAGATCCCGTTCCACTGAATTATGATGCGTTATGGATGGTCTGGCATCTGCTCCTCGAGCTCCCCCCTGCATAGAATGCAGTAAACAATATCGTCATCCGCATTCGGTCCGACATTCATATCACCAATGTCAAACTTTCACCATTTGCTTTGTCACAATAGAGCGCAAGCCATGAAAGATAGATCGGTACCTGGATAGAGGCTGAATCCTCTCGAATTCCCAAGAAAGCGAGCTTTCCAAACGCTCGGCGAGCAAAAATCCGGCCAGCCACAGACACACGATCCTCGTCCACCCCTCCGGCCGGTAAGTCGTCGGTATTTTATTTCTCCTGGAGCTGCGTGGCCTTGTGTGTCCGATTCCAGGACTACGCACAAGGCTCAATGCCTAGGCCTCGCATTTCCTCCACCTGGATCGAGCAATCACGAGTAAATTTTCACCTACAGGACGACC